AATTTCAGATTTGGTTTAAATAAAGAGGTTTCCTAAATTAGTTTATCAATAAGGAAATTGTTTTAAATTCAAATATTAATTTGAATTTAAGTAGGAAACTTTCATAATCAATAAGGGGCTATTTTAGGAAAGTGAATAAGGGGAATTTGAATTTTGAATTTCAAAATTCATGGGAGTTGGAGGGGGGGCGACAACAATGGGCTTTGGAGGGCGGCTAGTGGCTATGGGTGGGGAGGGCTCGGTTAGGGAAGAAGGCGAGGGGAAGATTGAGGAGAGCAGGCCGGCGGGTGTTGGGAGATGGGGAGGTGGCCAGAGGTATGAGGGAAAGGTAGAGGGGAAAAGGGAGGGGGCTGACTAGGGTGTAGGGCTAGGGGTAGGAAGAAAAACTTAGAAATTCTGATTTTTTTTTTTTTAGAATTTTCTAAGAGAGGAAGAGGGAATAATTTAAACTCCAAACTATCCCAAAAAGTAGCTCTAGGGGCCGGCGGTTTAGGAGGGGTTTATGGGGCTTTTAATTGGAATTAGGGAATAGATTGGGGAGGGAAAAAGAAAGGGGAAGGGGGGCCGACCATATGAGGAGGAAGGGAAAGAGATAGGAAAAGAAGATAAACCGTGAGCCCGGATACAACTTGCGACTGACGGGTGATGCAATGCCCTCACCTAGGGACTTCAACCACGAGCCCCCGAACACATCCTATGGCTGGTGGGTATTTCGTTGCCCTCACATAGGATCTTCCACTCTCCTAAGAACTCCTATAGCTCTCAAGAACAAATTGTAGAAACAATTTTTTTATTAATCCATCATTGTCTAATACAAGAGCAAGAGCCTCTATATATAGACCTTAAAAGAAACTAAAAGACAACTTTGCCCCTTGGGCTTACATAAGACAAGACCCTTAAGTTAGGATAAAAAGGAAAAATGCGTAATTAAATAAAAAAATACAATTAATAAACTAAGATAAAAATGGAGGATCTATGCAGTTGATCTTTGTCTCATCCTTTGATTAACGTCTACCGTCGGATGCCCACATCAATCAAAGCCTTAAAACAATTTTTGATTTGATAAATGAAACATTGAGAAATAAATGATTGTGGCATCTCATGCTCTTAGAGAGTAAATTAAACCATTTATTAGTTCATGTGTTGTGCCTTATTTAACCCACACTATGCTTATATTAGTAATATATCTTGAGAATAAAAGTAATGGAGAACATTCATTTGATAAAGACCTTTCTTCTAATGCAGTGGTGGTAGTTACATCTCCTTCTGATTTGTTGTGTGTATAAAATTCAAATCAACTTTAGATTGTACCTTGGAATTAGTGCGTTATCGTTTAGCTAGCATAATGGTTGAGAATGGCCCCAAAGCCTACATACAGAACCAGTGATCCAGGCTCAATTCAGATTTTGTTTTTGATCATCATCCTGTTGCTGGATATTGTTGATCTAGATTCTCTATTTGTTGGAAAAAATAAGAAAAATATATCATTACTCTGTAAAATATACTAGGCTTCAAGTGGGACATTATTAATGAGGATTCTTGTCTTATTATTATTATTTTTTTCTGAAAGTTGACTCATTGACCACTTGTTGGCCTTGTCAATATGTTTTATTTTTGAGTAAAAGTTTAAAATAGTCCCCCGGCTATTAATAAATGTTCAATTTAGTTCCAAAATTTAGCATTGCCTCATTTTAGTGCCCCGACCATTGAAAATTGAGCCAATTGGTCTCAAAGCCTAAAGGCGTTAAAGTTAATTCCAAAAGTTAAATAGGAGGGAAGCAGGACGTATAGCAAGAAACATTGAGCAGGTATTTTACTTTAATGCCCCCAAGAAATGAACCTTTCCGGCTCTCTCCATTAATTTTAAATGGTTAGGGACCAAATTAGCTCAATTTCTAATAGTCGATAGACTAAAATAGGGCAATACAAAATTTTGGGACTAAATTGGACATTTATTGATAGTCGGGGGACTATTTTGAGCTTTTTACTCTTTTATTTTTTGTTCTTTTTTTCATGTGACAATGTTATACAATTGCTTTGAGTTGTGCTCTTTTCATTCTATTGATAAAATTTGATTTGCGGTAAAAAAGTGGCATAAAAAAAAGCTTTAACGTGTTAGACTGGTATTTTGATTTCATTTAATTTTTTGAACTTAATAAGTTTTTTGTAGGTGTATCTCTGTGGATATGAATTTGTAATGGATACAAATAACTTTGAACCCAGTGATGTATCTGTGCTTCTTATACATTAGTGCTCATATAAAACATGATATCATGCCTAAGAGGCATGTTTCGCATAAGTTTTTGTGTTCATTGCTTAAATTTCGGAGTTTTTACCAGCCGCAGGATGGGTCCGGGCTCATGACTTGAAGTCCCTTGGAGAAGGGCAAAGCATCACCCGTCAGTCTTCGAAAGAGTCCAAGGCTCGCGGTTTTTTATCTTCTATCTTTTGTTTTTATTTTTGTTTTTGTTCCTTCTTATTGTTCCTAGTTTTCATCTTCATCCTCTACCTATGTCCACCTTCATCTTCTCCATCTCCAAGCAGTCGTCTCCATTTCCACCAAACCACCGGCCATGGCTCCCTAGCCGCCGGCCTCATCCCCACTTCTACGTCTCCTTGAAATTTCCTAATTAGGTTGATGATTTAATTGGGATGATCAAAGATTACAAATCCGTTTGAATTTGAATTCGAAATCTTTCCTAATTTGATTGTTCTATTTTAGGAAAGTATTCGAATGACATCCTTTTGAATATTTTATTCCTTGGGATTTTAATTTGAAACTTTCCTAATTTCAAAACCTAAATTAGGAAGGCCAAATTGACTCCACAAGTTGCTCCCCCATCCTATGCTAGCCGCCGGCCTCATCCTTTTCTCCTCTCTCCTTGGATTTCCTAATTTGGGGTGCATGATATTAGGACTTAATTTGAAATTCAAATTGTTTAAAATTTGAAATTTAATTTTCTTTCCTAATTTAGTTCACCTATTTTGGAAAGTGCTTAATTGAAATCAATTTGAATTTTAAATTCAAATTGGATTTGATTTAATACTTTCTTAATTCGCAAAACTAAATTAGGAAGCCTTAATTCTCCCCATTAATTTCTCTCTAGCCTATGCCTGCCACCGGTCCCCTCTATTAAATCCACTTGGATTTATTACCTAAAATCCCTTATCCCTCATGGAAAGAATCCAAAATCATCCACCTCACCTGGCCGAACTTCTTGCCTAAGCATCCCTTCATTAAATCTTGCCAAAAAAACTCATTATTATCAATTGAAATTTGATAGGAAACACTTGAATTCCCAAGTGTTTCTCACCAAAATCAGTAAAATTTCAGCAGTAAACTGCTGTCCACAGCAACCACACAGCAGCCAAACAGCAGGAAACAGGGAAAACGTAGAGAAAAACACAAGTAGAAGCTTGTATTTCACTAGAAGAAGAAAACATCAAAGATACAATTGATCCTCAATTCGAGAGGAGGATCGATCTCTCCCAAATCTCTAGACGCCGTTAGAGCCCAAAGAAAACCTAAATCTAAGAGATCTCAA